AGCCGTGGCGGAGCAGCGCGTCGCAGGCGAGCGCGAGGCGCGACGCGCGGTCCGGGTCGTCGCCGCCCGAGGGGTCGCCCCCGCCGCGCGCCGCGAGCAGCTCCGCGGCCTCGCCGGCGAAGCAGCAGTGGAGCGCCGTCGCGCCGCGGCGCAGGGGCGGCGCGCCGCCGCCGGGCGGCGGCGGCGCGAGGAGCACGGCCGCCGCGGACGCGCCGCAGCGGAGCAGGCAGTCGAGCGCCTCGTGTTTGCGCCGGACGGCGAGCGCGTGCGCGGCCGTGAGGCCGTCGCCGTCGCGCGCCTCGAGCGACGCGCCCCAGCAGCCCAGGCCGCCCACGAGGCGCTGCAGCCGGCCGAGCGCGTCGCCGTCGACGGCGCCCGCGTAGTCCGCCGCGGCGCGGAGCGGCGTCCGGCCCGCCGCGTCGCGCGCGTCCGCGAGGCCCGCCGCCGCCGAATCCGCGAGGAGCAGCGCCGCCGCGCCGTCGCGCCAGCGCTCGCAGGCCGCGTGGAGCGGCGTGCGCCCGGCGCCGTCGCGCGCCGCGACCGCCGCGCCCGCGTCGAGGAGCGCCGCGACGGCCCCGCGGACGCCGCGGCCCGACGCGACGTGGAGCGCCGTCGCCCCGGACGCGTCGCGCGCGTCGAGGTCGCCCGCGGCCGCGAGCGCCGCGTCCAGCGCGCGGCGCGCGTCGTCGTCGTCGCCCGCGGCGTGCGCCGCCGCGAGGGCCAGCGCCGTCCCGACGAGCAGGCCGTGGCGCCAGGGCCCGAGGCCCGCGCGCGGGCAGACGACGGCGGCGCCGAGCGCGGCGAGCCACGCGCGCGCGCGGGGCTTCGGGAACGCGAGCGTCACGACGGCGCCGTCGCCGAGGCGCAGGTCGAACGACGCCTCGCCTTCCCGCGGCGCGCCGCACGCGGACCGCGCCGCGAGCTTGCACGCGTCGAGCGCGACGACCTTCTCGACGTCGAGGGCGCCGCGCGGGAGCGCCGCGGCGTCGCTCGCGCGGTCGTCGGCGCTCCGCGTCGCCGACGACGACCCCGTCGCGCTCGCCGCCGTCGCCGCGACGATGAGCACGCCGCCGCCGAGCGTCGAGTCGCGCCTACATGAGCACGTGGTGTCCCCCGTCGACGTCGGCGTCGGACGCCGCGCCGCGCAGGCGGAAGAGCAGCGCGTGCCTGTCGTCGAGGAAGCCCGACCGCGGCCCGAGCGCGCGCCCGAGGAACCCGGGCCGCGGCGGCCGCCAGAGGGCGCAGGCCCCGTCGATGGCGAGGCCGTAGCGGGCGAGCTTGGCCCGCTCGTCCGCGGCGTCGGCCCCGAAGTCGTCGCCCCAGCGCAGCTTGCGCACCGCGAGCTCCGACCGGCTCCGCGCCGCGGCCGCGAGGCGCGCGAGGGGGTCGTCGCGCGGCGGCGCGGCCGCGGCCGTTTCCCGGGGCCGCACGACGAGGGCGAGGGGCCGCGGCGCGGCCTTGACGTACTCGATCGCGCCCGCCCAGAACTTCTTGTCGACCTTCGCGTTTCGCAGGTCGAGGTCGCCGAGCTGGACGATGCGGTCGCCGACCTCGAGGGCCTGGGCCGCGGCCTGCGTGCCCGCCTGGACGCTGTGCACGAGCACGACCTCCTCGGCCGTCCGCTTCATCGTGAGGCCCAGCGGGCCCTCGCCGAACGTCGCCGTCCGCTCGATCGCCGCGCCGCCGGGCTCGGCGCCGGCCGCCGCGCCGCCGGCCTCGCCGAAGTGCTCCTCGACGATCTCGATGTGCACCGCGGCCGTCGACGCGGGCGCGGGCGCGGGCGGCGGCGCGCCGGACGGGTCCTCCGGCGCGCCGCCGGCGACGCCGGCCGCGTCGGGCGGGTCGCCGGCTTCGGCGGGCGCCTCGCGGGGCGCCGCGTCCGCCGCCGGTTCGGCGGGTGGTGTGGCCACCTCCGCGGGCGGGTCCGCGGGCGCCTCGGCTGGCGGCGGCGCATCTTCGGCGCCGTCCATGTCCTCTGCCACTAAGAGTCGATCGGACAGAAGCACCAGGCAGGAGTGCGCCAACGCCGGCGCCCCCTGGAGGCAGCCCCCCGCCGCGGCCATGAAGCGCTTCGAGGAGCAGCGGCGGCACCAGCGGCGCGCGAGCACGGTGGAGATGAACCCCGAGTTCGAGCAGAAGCTGGGCCGCTTCAAGCCGCCGGCGATCAGCGACGACGACCTGAAGATCATGACCATCCAGCGCAACGCGGCCCTGCTCATGCGCGAGCACCCGTCCCTGAAGCGGATCCTGAAGAACCACGACTTCGACCGCGACCTGCCCGACGCGGACCGGCTCCACCAGGTCGCCATGCTCTTCGAGACGGGCGGGTTGGGCATCCGCAAGTCGCCCAAGGACGCGCTCCGCTTCCACAAGTTCGCGGCGGTCCTGGGCCACCACCGGTCCCAGGGCGTCATGGGCGAGTACTACGAGACGGGCACGACGGAGCAGCGCAACCCGCGGCGCGCCCGCGCGCTCTACCGCGAGTCGTCGCGCGCGAGCGACAGCCGCGCGCAGTACGACCTCGAGCCGCGAAAGGGTGGTGCTTCAACGTGGGTGCGCCCAAAAAAAACATCGACGCTTCGAGCGATGGTCGCTCGTCCAAATGAAACGGCCGAGATCGAAGCGTTCGGGCGCGTCGCACCCTTTCCCCGCCCAGGTACAACCTCGGCCGCGTCTTCTACCACGGGCTGCTCGGCCAGCGCGCGAACCGGCGCAACGCGCGCCTGCTCTTCGAGAAGGCCGCGAAGCGGCGCGAGAAGTGCGCCCAGGCCGCGCTGGGCTACATGTACGAGAAGGGCGAGGGCCGGTGTGGAATGGACCGGTCCAGCAAAACTTCACACCTCTCTTTCTCGAGTGGTTTCGGCTGCTTTTTGGACGGATCGTGTTCTCTCGGCGAGCCCTTTCCGGAGAGCCAAACGCTCGTGTCGAAACTGTTCGATAAACAGCATATCGACGTCGGGTTGCATATTTTCGTTTCCCGCCCAGGCGAGGGCGACCTGAAGACGGACTATAACCACGCGAAGCGCTACTACGGCATGGCCGCGAACCAGGGCTGCGAGCGGTCCGCGTTCAATTTAGGGCACCTCTTCGAGAAGGGCCTCGTGATCACGGAGAACGACGTCGTCCGCTACGCGCTCGCGAAGCAGTGGTACGAGCGCGCGGAGGCGCTCGGCTACGCGCGCGCGGAGCAGCGCATCGCGCACATCGCGACGCTC